GACAGCTCTTTACCACAGGTGTTCAGTACCAACGGGTGGAATTGCGGACACATGCGCAGTAACGGGCGAATAACTGAGCAAGATGCTGACAGTCATAGGTTGATGAAAAGTAACACAATACACCGGCAGTGCAGCGTTTCACTGCTTATCAGAAGTGCCAAGCAATATTACTGAGGCTAATCGTTTAGAAAAATAATGCTAACAAGCGGCAGCAGCAAGCCTTAGCCTCACAAACCGCAAGCTAGGAGCTAGCAGCTAACATGCAAAACTCGCAGCTAGTGCTAAAGGGCTGCGTGAAAGTGCAGTTTGAAGGAGCTTCTGCACAAATTATTCAGTGAGCAAGCGTCACTTGAAAGTCTCAAGCACCGTTACGTGGCCTGATAGAGGGTAGCTAAAGACAGCTCGAATACTTAGCTGCTACTTAGCTTCTCTTGCATCACCTGCTTTAGAGTCAATGACTTTAGCTAGTTAGCACAGGCTACCAACTTGGCTAAAGCTGCTAACGTCCAGAATCTCACCTTTTGGTCAATATCCCCAACCACGTAGAATTTGACATCTTTGAAAAGCTCATCGGAAACCTTGATCTCTTCTTCAGACATGACTGGCCATGAAGGTCACGGCACTGTATGATTCAAAAACAGCCAGAAGCTCAAAGTGGAAAGTGTCTGCGCTGCAGCAGCTGATTACAGAACACCGGACACACACTAGCGCCAAATCGCTTAGCGCGCCTTGGACTGCAGCATTATGTGCTTGCTGAGGGGGGTCTGTCGCAAATCAACACTTCTGTATTCAGTCGCTTTGTTTTTCATAACTCTCTAAACATTGCATCGCTAAATGTAGTTTATCGTAAATATTACTGAGGTAAAAGAACCCATATAACAGAATAACGGCGACGGGAATTTACAAATATGTTTTCAAATAGACACATAACCCCCTGTGACGTAAAGGTTATTGTTTTGATCTAAACGTGTAACCAGATTATCTCAAACAGACTGAGCTGGGTTCATTTGACTTTAGGACAAATGCTTCGAAAAACGACAAACACACACACAAAAAAAGCCAGCGGTGGTGTATTAATCTAGAAGAGAACCAAAGAAAATCATTCATTTCATCCTATATTTAACACTGCCAACAGAATAATCTGTCATATCAAAAATATTGATAAAAATATTATTAAATTAAACACTGTTAGTGGAATTTGGGGGGATTAGCACATGGAAGACCAAGAACCAGTTGGGCGATGGCACTGTCAAATCCGAGAAATCTTTTAGGAAAGAATAACTCAACCTAAAAACAGAAAATTCAGCAAGCTTCAATGCTTTTAATCGAGGACAGACGTCCTGTTTCAGTAAGCAACATTAGTAAAATCAGAATATGTGACAGCTCCTTAAATATATGGCAGCCACATAAAAGTTTAATTTTTGTACTGGATATTTATTTATTTATGTTTTTGTTTTTTGCAGACTGTAACAAACATATCTATGATCCTATCTGTTATAGTGTTAGGCACTGTAAGATGTTCTAGTCCAATATACCCACCTCCACACACCCCAAGTCTTGCTCTTTGTGTCTTTTGAATTGTAGTTCAGCTAGACTGGTGGTATGGGCATGTGTGCGGAATCAGTCTACACGCACATATAATGATATACCACTGCAGAGATGCCCAATGGCATGGAAGGTGATTGCTGTGTTTGGAAAAGATGGTTCTGCAGGAAACTTTGACAAAAAAATCTTTATGTTGGTTTGTCTAGTGTTTTGGCTATTATCGGTATTGCAGTGCTGACAGCGTTTTTTCCGAGTGGTGACACAGTTTAGGAGTAGAGCATCCACAGTCCAAGGATTAAATGGTCTGTCTTGACAAAC